TGCCCTGGACGCAGGGAGCTGGCCAGCTTGCGTTCCAGAGGCCAAATGCACTGGAACACGGAGTTTGTGGTGTGAACCGGCCTTTATAGCATAGCCGCATATAGAACATAGAGTTCTTTAAATGCAATGGACACTATCAATGCTTGCCTTAGCAAATGATGCATTGCATTCGTGATCTTGTTTTACATTTGTTTTTCTTCCCAATAGTTATAAAAATAAGCCCAGTAAACAAGTAAAGTTGTACAAGAAGGCCAACGATTCTAGTAGTCCCTCCTAATCCTTAAAGAGAATCCAAACTTAAATGCTAAAATACTTGCTTGGCTTGACAAAGACTTAGAGAAGGGCTCAGATACTTGAGCACAATGTTCCCTGCAGTGCTGGGCAGTTGGTCAACTGATCTCTGCTTAAAAAAAAGTTCTCATTTAGTGGAAATCATGTGACCAAGTTTCTAGCTTTCAGATGTAGGCATCACTAGAGCGCAACTGAAGAAGCATTGATGCGTGATTCCTAAGCCCGACGCCTGGGACATGCAGTTCCGGGTGCCAGGCAGGTTTTTTTCCTACATTTAGCCCTGCTGTGGGCACATGTACACATAATGACGTCACGTGCACTTCACTGCTGGCAACCATCTTGGTGATGGACGCTGGCAAAGATGAGAGGGGACGTTCATTTGGCGGGATACGGTATGCCACAGGGTCCCCTCCTCTCTCGTGCAGCTGTCGTGCTCGAAGGAGTGACACTAAAATCACTGTCACCCCCTTGTGACGCCACAGCACAGGGCATGAGTGTTGCCCCCATTCCACTGGGTGCCATATTGTGGTAGCAGGGCAGCAGCACGTTTTAAAATGCACAATAAGTTAACTTTCCCAAGTTATTTGGGATTTCAAGAATCTTGTTTTTTTTCTATAAAAAAAAAACTACTGTAGATATGAAGTTGAGGCAGTGAGGTGCTTTCACATACCTACTGCGAATCCTTAGTGTTATGAATGAATCTGGTCCATTATGACAGGCAAAGCATTGGCACTTCTGATGGTGCTGAAGCTTTCTTGCCCCCTGCACATTTATATTGGTTAGTGAGACAGCCTCTCACAGTGATGGGGCTAATAGGAATGTATGGGTCAGAATCCATCAGTAAGGTCTGACACTACCCAGAAAAAGTATTGCCTTTTGGAACAGCCCAGGATTCGGCCATAACATCTCTGCCTTTATAGCTTCTGTAGGTATGTCTGTTTGTTTTTATTTTTTTGTGACCATTACCTCTAATAAACTGTATCCCATGTCTTGCTGGTTACTGTAAATAAATCCTCCTTCCAATAATGCCAGAAAGCTGCGACTGTAAAGGATCGCACCTTTAGCCCTCCTCTTTCTGTCCCCTTGTCCAGTCACAAAACTCCTAGTATCATTTTCAGAGTGCCAGGTGCTCTGTGATCAGGACAAGGGGAGATTCTGTCATTCATCCATCCATCATCCTCTATTCTCACAATGCCTTGCATTCTAAAAAATAATACAAGGACATTTGTGAAAGGGGAGGGGACAGGAAGTGGGGAGTGAATGGCACACTACTTTACAGTAGCAGCCACTGCTCCAGAATATCACCACTGTTGGGAGTATATGACATCTGTGGTTGGAGAATTTTTGCAGTAGCCCAAAGCCAGCAGTATATGAGGTACACTCTATTAGAGGATGTAACTCGTGTTGACTGGTGCTGTGTACCCCCAATTTTTTAATTTACAGACAACTGTAGTACAAGTTAGGTTCCTTTGCCAGAGCATTTTAAACATTGCCCATTGAATTTGAAAACTTGCCAATGCAAGGCAAAATAAACTGTTGGAAGCCCTTTAGTGCAACCTAAATACTGACAGCGTTGCAGGGGTTTTGCCTGGTGAGTGGCTTCATCAACCAAATGAATTTTCACTGACTAGCATAAGTGCTTTTAACAGACAAACGCAAGTCTTTGGTGCTTGTGTGTGAATTAAAACCCTTTCTGAGCCTGATGACGGGGACCCAACGTGGCCCCAAAAGTACTTGTGATTTTGAATGACTGTTGTCATTAAAATTGATTGAATCTAATCTTGGAGTGCTGGTGACATCTTTTGGAATTCTATTTGGTTACGCGGTGCCACCGTGGTCACTACGAGCACCCTATTACAGACATTATCTCCCAGGAGATCCGGTAAGGAGTGCAGTAAGTCACACAATTTTTCTGAATTAAAACCCTGGAACATTTTCATAGAATCTTGGATGGATGAACTTTTATTTCCGTAAGAGATGTGTTGGCTGTCATGAACAGGTTTTTTTAATTCTTTTTATTTTCTTTATATATTCTATTAATCTTCATTAGGAAAGTGGAAACTAGAACTGCATGCTTCGAACAGTTACTCCTTTATTTTGCTTTGGTTTGTAAAGTAATTTTGCTATACAGCGGAAAGGAATTTATGTACACATGGGTGCTGGAGTGAATTGGTCTCCATATTCATATATGTAAGAAGTTTAAGTTTGTAGGGTTTGCTTTGTCAGTATGAGCTAATGCTTTTGAGCTAATGCTTTTGAGCTAATGCCATTTTTTTGTGCACTTGTAGGGTTCAGTGCAGTTTTCTGGCAGGTTTGGGTGGGCATAAAGTAGAGAGGTACTCAATGCCCCCCCCCCCCCCCCCCCACC